TTGCAAACTTGACATCACAGACCTATAAAAATGCTCATTTTGTTCCGTTTTTTAATTAAAAAACGAACTTATTGACGACCTAAAGGTATGATAATGTGGTTTAGCTGAAATTCTATGATAAGATTAGTCTTGCGTAAAAGTTTTACCGCGAGTTTAAGTATAGATTTAACGATACAGCGTTGCAAAGTTTATGTATATAAGCTTTAAAAATGTTTTTATTTTTAAGTTCAGTGTTTGTTTGTTTTTTTTTTTTTTTTTTTTTTTTTTTTTTTTTTTTTTTTTTTTTTTATAAAATAAACCATTTACGTTATCTGCAGATGTAAGATTGATTTGTAGTGATACAGCGTTCCCAAGCTTACAATTTTGAACTCAACGAAATATGATTTTTTTCAAAATTTTTTTTCCAGTTTAAGATAAAATCAATGGGTGTCATCCCTCATATCAAGCCAAAATATCAAGGTCTGATGTCTGTTCCAAGTGACAATTGGTTCTTGCAATAATACTTTTGCCAAGTTTATTCACAATTCTCTCCAAGCAATAAATAATAGACGATTTTAAAATAAAGATGCTTCCAGTAGTTATTTGATTTTGCTTATTTTTTTATTTACATTGACATTTTTTCTTTCAATTTTATATGACTTTCTACCGTACATTATTTTTCATTTTTCATTTTTTTTATTTTTTTATTTTTTATAGTTTTTTATCTTCTTCCTTCAAAATATTTTATTCATGTGATGCTTCAGTATCAGTCCTGTCTTGCCTTCAAATCTATAGAAAACGCCTCAACAGGATGCCAATTTTAAACTTTCACCCTCCAAAAGTCATATTTAAATAATTTTAAAATTCTCTCTTGAGGAGGCGTCTGGGTTTTTTATACATTAATGCAACAGTGATTTAAATATTCTATTTAGGTTTTAAATTATATTTTATTGTTTTGTTGGTGTATTTATTATTTTTCGTTCATTTAATTTACTTTGCATTTTTTTTTTTTTTTTTTTTTTTTTTTTTTTTTTTTTTTTTTTTTTTCTTCTTTAATATTTTCAAAATCTTCCATTCTTACGTTCAACATACTCAGTTTTTTAAGGTATAATGAATGTATCTTCTATATCAAAATTTATTTCTACTCAAAAAAAAACCCAAGCGCCTCCATATTCTATGTTAGTTTCTTCATTACACCTAAAAAAGGTTGAATTTGCAACTAAGTCTAGGCAGAATATTTCAGATCTTGAAAGCAACGCTGATGCTGAATCATCCATTGTATTCCAAAAATCCTCTGGAATTACATTTTAAAGTAAAATAACTATTGGAAGAATCCTTACTTTTAACTAATTTTATACAATCGAATGTTAAAAGAAAAGCAGATAAAATTTGCAACGACGTTATTTTAATGCAATTGTCACCCAGGATCAACATAAAGCCTTCACATTTCGTTTCACACTATGAACCATTAACTCATATTGTATCTTGTCTCCAATACAATAACAAGAAAAAGTAGACATTTTCATAGATGAAAGATGTAAACTTTGCAACGCTGTATTGCCCAAAATTATCGTATACTGATTAAATCTATGCTATACGTCTAAACTTTGCAACGCTGCATTGCCTAAAATTATCGTATACTGATATAAATTTTACTATGAGTCTGCGAGTATCTCTAATTGTATATTTTATGTCTCAAATACTGCTACAATATACAAAACTATAAAAAATGGTTATTTTTAAAGGGCAAGAATGTAATTCTTGCAACGTTGTACCGCTATTAACGGCTCATCCACAATTTGAAACTTTTACTACGGATTTTCTTATAATTTTTCAGTTACGCGTCATGTTTACTTGAAACTTACATTACTTGTTACTTACATTACTTTGAAATTGGCTTTTGGAAGAAATTCTTCAAAAATGTGAAGATTTTTAAGACTCAAACATGCAAACTTTGCAACGCTGTAGCTCCAAAACCAATGGCGTGGCGTGAATTGCGATATATCAATTGTCATGCCATTTAAACCCATGAAAAAGGATCGATAGATAGGGTGTTCGCAGCAAACACCTTAATAATCGATTCTTTACCATAGCTTTAAATGGCATGAGAATCGATACATCGCAATTCACGCCACGCCACTGTCCAAAACCAAACGTATCCTCAAGCTAAAATTTTTACCGGAGGCTTGTCTCATCATAAGGTTTCATTTCGGTCACGTACGAATGAAATCCCCGGGTTTCAAAAAAGGTCGCTCCTCTGACATAAGGACGCATCTCACTTTTCACATGAACCGCAGAAAGCATGGATTTGAATGTGACCCAGGGCTCACGAGGAAATTGAGATTCGCCCTTTCGTCAGAGGAGCGACGAAACGGGGCCACTCATTGGGAGGCTTTTTAATCTATTTTCCTCCCTCAATTGGACTGCATTTTGCAATTTGGAACTATAAATTCTGGCCCGGTAAAAAAAAACGCATGTGCCATTAGTATCCTTATGCACATAAGTGTTTTTTTCAGATGAGCCAGAATTTATAGTTCCAAATTGCAAAATGCAGTCCAATTCGTCGTTACCTCCCACGAAAGAACATAACTACATTTGGATTACATTTTGCAATAAGGAACCACTATTTCTGACTCTTCCATAAAACCACCGTTCTGCACAGGGAAACCAATGGCATATACGTTGTTTCTAAAATGAGCCAGAAATAGTGGTTCCTTTTTGCAAAATGTGGTCCATTTCATTGTTGCCAGATTTCGCCTCGTAAATTTGAATTTGTAAAGGAAAATGTTAGGTATTCATTGTACATTTCACTGATTTTTCCGCTGATCTCATGAAAAACGAAAATAAATTTTGGATAAAGATTTCGCTTTCTCATGTTTGTGAAAAATTGAATTCTTTGAATCAATTTGACAACCTTGGAATGGAGTTACGTTTCTTCGTCCGGGAAATGACAAAAAATGAAGCTGAATCCTGTCGTGGCGAATTCAGTGAATAGTTTATTCTGCAGAATCTTGGAAAAATAAGACAGTTTCAAGGTATTATGTTCCGTAGTTCTGCAGTATTACAGAAACAGAACATCAGGAAAACCAAGCACCGTCAAATCGTGGCTCCTCTGACGTAAGGGCGTATCCAGATTTTTGCATGAGCCTTAGAAAGCATAGAGTTATACGGAGCACAGGGGTCACGTAGAAATCAAGTTACGCCCTTACGTCAGAGGAGCGACGAAATGTAGTTCAGTTGATTCTACCTAAAATCGCCCAAATGATGACAGCGGCGATGATCGGCGTTGATGAAGAATGAGGGGCTTGTAGGACAAAGCGCGTAAGTGCAGTTTTTGCTACCTCGAGAAATATGTGTTTGAAGTTTTGAAATTACATGGATCCTTATGGCGGAAAGAAAGTTCAAACTGACTTTTTGAAGCTTAAAAATTGAAATTTGAGAGGGAATTTTTCACAAAATATGCACTAAGACTAGTTTTACTTGAAATCATTAACATCTGAACTTTTTCCAAAACTGCTTTTATGCGCCTTGTCCTCCAAGCCCCTCAAATATTTTAGCAGCCCATTTCAAAAATTGAAATTATTGACGGTAACCGATTCATTAGAAGTTGAGGTGATTCGATGAACGCCATACTTTGTGCCAGAACGACATGCGAAATATCGCGTCGATTAGTTTCATTTTTTCAGCTACTCGTCATTTTTCTCGAATTTTGAGATCTCAATTCTGTTGTCAGGAGACTAGAGCACTCGTTTACCAATTTTAACAATGAAATTCAACGTAATAAAGGCGTGGTTTTTTTAGAGAGAAAATATCGCATTCGAGTGCACTTCCGATATCAGTATCGAATGCGATGTGTTCTCTCTAAAAAAATCACGCCTTTGTTACGTTGAATTTCATTGTTAAAATTTGTAAGTAAGTGCTGTAGTCTCCTGACAACAGAATTGCGATCTCAAAATTGGAGTAAAATGACGAGTAGCTGAAAAAATCTGAAGCGATATATCGCATGCCATTCTGACTCAAAATATGGCATCCATCGAATCACCTTAAGTTGATTTTACCTAAAATCGCCTGAATGATGACAGCGGCGATGATCAGCGTTGGGGAAGAATGAGAGGCTTGTAGGACAAAGCGCGTAAGTGCAGATTTTGCTACCTGGAGAAATATGTGTTTGAAGTCTCGAAATTACATGGATCCTTATGGCGGAAAGAAAGTTCAAACTGACTTTTTGAAGCTTAAAAATTGAAATTTGAGAGGGAATTTTTCACAAAATATGCACTAAGACTAGTTTTACTTGAAATCATCATCGAGAAATATGTATTTGAAGTCTCAAAATTATACGGATCCTTAGGGCGGAAAGAAAGTTCAAACTGACTTTTTGAAGCTTCAAAATTGAAATTTGAGAGGGATTTTTTCACAAAATATACACTTAGACTAGTTTTACTTGAAATCATTAAAATCTCAACTTTCTCAAAAACTGCACAATATGCGCCTTGTCCTCCAAGCCCCTCAAATTTTTTAGCAGCCCATTTCAAAAATTGAGATTATTGACAGTAACCGATTCATTAGAAGTTGAGGTGATTCAATGAACGCCATATTTTGTGCCAGAACGACATGCGAAATATCGCGTCAATTGGTTTCATTTTTTCAGCTACTTCTCATTTTTCTTGAATTTTGAGATCGCATTTCTGTTGTCAGGAGACTAAAGAATTCACCTACCAAAATTTGACCTACAAATTCATCGTAATGAAGTCGTGAGTTTTTTTTATGAGACAAAATATCGCATTCGAATGCAGTATTTTTCCTCTATTTTCCTCACGCCTTTAATACTTTGAATTTGTTCATCAAAATTGATAAGTGAATTATTTAGTCTCCTGACAATAGAATTGCGATCTCAAAATTCGAGAAAAATGACGAGTCGCCGGAAAAATGGAACTAATCGATGATATATATCACCTGCCGTTCTGTCACAAAATACGGCGTTCATCGAATCACCTTAATTTTCGAAATAGGAGGAAGCTTGAGAGATCTTACCGTGAAGAAGCGATGATCTGCAAGGTCAGGAACAGCTCTGATGCGTAGGGTGAAGATTTCCATCCTCGTTCATCGCCTTCTCGAATGTTGGCTGCAAAGAAAAAAATTAATATAATTAATTGTCTAGTATATGGAACAGCTTAACAAATAAATTGAAATAATGTTGAAAAATAATGGAATAAAACTGCTTTTTGAACCACAAAATTACAATATTCTCACATAATGTATATAATAATAATCAATTTTCAACGATTAAACATTTTCATATCGACGACCTAAGGAGATTTGATGGACGCCATATTTAGTGTTAGAAAGGCATGCGATATATCGCATCCATTGGTTCCATTTTTTCAGCTACTTGTCATTCTTCTCCAATTTTGAGATCGCAATTCTGTTGTCAGGAGACTAAAGCACTCGCTTACCAATTTTAACAAAGAAATTCAATGTAATAAAGGCGTGGTTTTTTTAGAGAGAAAATATCGCATTCGAGTGCAGTTTCGATATCAGTATCGAATGCGATGTTTTCTCTCTAAAAAAATCACGCCTTTATCACGTTGAATTTCTTTGTTAAAATTGGTAAGTGAGTGCTTTAGTCTCCTGACAACAGAATCGCGATCTCAAAATTGGAGAAAAATGTCGAACACTGAAAAAATGGAACCAATTGATGCGATAAATCGCATGCCGTTCTGACACAAAATATCGCGTCCATCGAATCACTTAAGTGTAGAAACACGCGTTTCCGTCTGCTACTCAACAGATTTTCTGTCATACTTCATTTTTTCTCGGGGGAACTGGTCCACCTAATTTCTTTAAAACTTCCGCGATTTTTTTTCAATTTTTGCAGAATACTTTGTATAAATTTCAAGCTATGAAGTTTGCTTGTTTCTTTTCGAAAAAATAAAATAAAGGTGGAAATTTTATGACACCACAATAGAAATGCATGATTTTCCACTTTGGCCATCGATTTATGAAGAAGTTAGGTAATTCGCAAATGCAAAAAATTGCAACACATTTCAATACGCAAAATACCTCGATAACTCCACTGATTGTGAAAAAATTTCGAGAAAATCAAAAGATTATCGCCCACAGGGATTCTTATATTAAATATCGATGGCCGAAGTGCGAAACCACCTATCTCCGTCTGCGATGTCCTGGACCTCCTGTTACACTTTATTTTTTCTTGGTAAAACTAGTCAACTTATTCCTTAAAAACTACCTCGATTTTTCCTCTCTTTTAGCAAAATATTCACTCGAAAGAAAACACATTGGATCTAGAGTCGAGAATCTTAAAAACATCGACAAGAAAAAGTACTCTTAATTCAATCAAATCTAGCTTAGATCAAGAACCAAGCCTCTTAATTTGAGCGGATTTCGTTTTGATTCAAGCAAAAATCCGATTGAATCAAGAGTATTTCTCTTTTTAATGTTTTCAAGAGTCTGGATCCTAAATGCAATGTGGTTTTTTTCCAGTGTTCTGTAAAGATATCAAGCCCAACAGTCGACTTGATTTTCCTCGATAAAATAAAATGGTAGCATAAATTTTACTGGAAATACGTGGTTTCACACTTAAGTCATCGATATTAAATGTACCACACTTCTCTCGTAAAAAAAGAAAAAATGAAAAAAAAAACCATTTTGTTGATGACATCAAGCGACTTACCGAATCAACGCTGAGGAATACACGTGAGCAAATTGACTTCCGAAACGATATCCTCAAATCAAATTTCATAAAAATAATCACAGAATAAACACTTCCGAAAATTCGCACAATGACAACCGACACGAGTGACAAATAGTAACACTTATTGTAAAACACGGCAAACTATTACACTGGACAGAAAAAGTAGAGGGTCGCTGACGAAAACTTTCGGCGGATAGAAAACTTGCGGAAAGTAAGGTTGTTCAACTATTCACTGCACTTTCTATAATCACGAAATAATTCACAGAAAAAAATTTTAATAGTAAAGTACCGAACACGGAAATAAAGTACCAAACACGAAAATATAGTACCGAACACGAAACTAAAGTACCGAACACGAAACTATAGTACCGAACACGAAACTACACTGATGGTAATGCACTTGAATAACACGACTATCACACGCGGTCCCGAGATGAATATATTTCCGATAAAATAAACTTCCGATTTGATTATCCTCTACACTCAAGCTCAACCCCTACGGCTGCGCGACTTCGACTGACCAAAGTACCAGAAGTTCCGAGCCCTCGAGGTCGCCAAAGTTTTCCTTGTTGTTCTCGAAAACAAAAGAGTGGCTTCGATTTCCAAAATATCCCTACATTTCGGGTTTCCCAGGTGAAAGGTCAGTGCAAGCTCACAAAAGAAAATGTCTTCATTGAACTGAAAACTAATTGGATGTATTTCTATCAAACGGAACTATGTGCGTTAAGACATTAGCCCTGAGACCCATACGAATATGTCCATAACAGGGCTCACGTCATAATGCACGTAGTTCCGTTTAATAGAAATACGTCCAATTATTACAATAATTAATGACGGTACCTGGATTTCCCGGATTAATTCATCTCTCACTTTTCACAACTTTCCTTTTTTTGCTGAAAAGTAGTGAGGGTTCGTCCATGAATTACGTAACCCATTTTTCCCGACCTTTGACCTCTTCTTCTCCTTTTGTCCAAAATGTCACTTACCTCCAGACACCCCCCCCCCCCCCCCCCC